AAACTTTTAATATATCTATTCACGAGAAATATTGACAGATAATTATAACATCCTACTGCCATGAAAAGATCTGAGGTGTTCAGAGCTAAGACAAAAAAGGACTGTTTTCCCCCTTCAGTTTTGATCTGTAGTTTTCATAGCTCATTTTCTCGGTTTGACTTACCATGTAGTTTTGCTTCCTCTGCAGATTGATATGAAGGTATTTAAAAAAGAAGTAGGTTTTGCCCATAAATGATTTGACGTTATTAGGGAAGAAAAAAAATTGTATTGGGTTGTAGCTAAAGAGATGCCACGGGAAAGGATAAAAATGAATTCTGGAATGACAGTCCTCTTAAACATCAAAAGACCTGCTCCACCAAGTCACAGTGTTTCTTTCTTTGTACGTACTGTTGCCTGGAGCATTCTGGGCTCCAGCAGTATACAAGGGATACTCTTTGATTCTTCCCAGCTAAACAAAAGGGTAAATCAGATTCCTTTGGTTTTTGTTAGAGCAAATTCACTTCTAGAATACAGTTTTCTTTCTTGTATTTGGAACTTTGTCTATGGAAAAACCTTTGGAAGTGTACTCTAGTTGTCTTAGTTATATGAGGGTTTTTATAATTCTTGAGCACCAAGCTGTCAAAAGCCCATTGAACGTTGCTTTTGTCCTGTTGTATTCAAACAAGTATGACTGCAGTCAATGCAAAATGTAAGTTAAGATTGTTCTTGTGTAGCATTAGCCTGTCTTTTATGGTATCTAGACAAAAACAGTAGATACTGTCGGAATAGATGAATTCCTGATGAGTGGTTTTATCTGGTGAAGTCTGTCAAAATAATCTCATGTGGGAGGTTGCCCCTTCTGTTGATCAGGTATGGGGTTTTTCTGCTGTTTCACTTGCCTACGAGGGTAGGGTAGTCTTTTTAGGAACACTGCTTGTATTCTCTGCTGTAAGAAATCAGTCTTTACTCTCTTCCTCCTATTATACAAGGTAATTCATAGGTTGAGGAAGCAAAGTGCAAAAACAGCTGCACAGGCAAAGGCAGATGATAATTTACTTAATTGTCTGTATCTCAGAAATTCTTCTTTATGACCCTTTTTTCTACCCAGTCACGGCTCCCGAGTAATACTCCTGTTTTTTTCCCCTTCTTTATAAGCATGTGAAATGAGCAGATATGAAAGTAAAAGTTCAATTCATTTAGAGGAAAAGATAAGAGCATGCAAAGTGGTACCCAAGAAAAATGCTTTGCAACATAACAGGATTTTTTCCATGCAGGTGTAACTTACCTAAACAATGTTTCACTACTGTTGCAGTAGATGACTTTGTAGACTATTCAGGTGCGTTTGCTGCTTAGTGACTGTTACGGCGTATTTGCCTTTTGATTGATTTAAAGTCTTAAGTAGGTCAGTTGTGGGCATAAGTAATTAGTGTGCGAGTCTGATTCAGGATAATCTGTCTGATTATCTTGCAGAGTATGCCAAGTAAATAGTTTATTTGAGTTTAAAATTTCATCTCAGCAATATGGACCAAACATTTGAAATAACTGGTTGCACTTTTGTACCTACATGTCTCCGTTCATCCTCCAAATTGCTGGAAAACATCCCTTTCCAAACAGGACCCAAAGATCTTTGATTTCACTTCACAAATACACATAAGCTTACCAGTTTCAGCAGTGTATAATGAAACTAAGTAGTAACACGATGTAGCTTGCGTACTCAAAAATTAGATGCCTTAAAGCTGGAGCTGCACTTTGAGATTTTGTGAGAGTGTGTTATTTGTGAATTTTTAACTCTGTTAGAGCCAATAGGCTTTTTCAGATAGGTAGAATTTCTGAGTGTGTTCTTCAAATATAGACTTTGTCTTGATAAATGTTAAACAAGTAGTAATGAGCTGGAAGGAAGACTCAAAGGAGCTGCTTACTCAAATTCTATGAGGACCTGGGGAGTGGGAGGGAGGCAAACAGAATAACTGATGCTTTCCATGGCAATGTGGATTCATGCCTTTTTAAAGATGCAACTAAATCATCTCTGCCAACAACAATTTGTTCCTGTAACTGTCATAATATATCTGAAGAACAAATATTATGTTTTTTGAATAATGAAAACTGAGCCTGGTGTCTGGTAGGCTTAAAACATGAAAGAGGGGAGTCCTTAGTTAAGAGGAGGTTTCTTAATTTCATTATCCTCTTCCTTAACATCTGCTGATAACAAACTAGGCTGAGAAGTTTTATGCACTGTGTTATGTTTCTGAGAAAAATTTCATATAAATTTCTGAATCTGAAATTCAGGTTTAGTTTTTCTCTGGAGGAAATGGAAGAATGATTTTTGAATCTTTAATCTTAGACAAACTTTGACTGGAGTCTGTTCAAAGTGCCAGTGCTGTAGAATGAGTCTCTGTAGGGGAGTTAGTTGTATTATAAAAAATAGACAAGTACGCTATAGGTTTGAGATTAAATTACCAATTAAACACTGTTTTAAATACAAGCTAGTTTTTTTGTTGGGTTTTTTTTTTGGTTTTGGGTTTTTTTTTTTTTGGCTGGTTGGAATTAATGACATCTGAGGCAAAAATCCAAGATATGAGAATGAGTTTTCTGTATTTCTTTCACTTTTCTCTCAAATTTTTTCCTCATTTTTCCATTCTCTTCAATTCACATTCACTTTCTTTTCTATGTTTTTAAAGATCACTGTTAGAAAGTACATAATTTTATATATTCTTTGAATTCTACTGTGGCTGCTATCGAGTATGAGGGTACACAAAGATATTTTTTTTTTTCTTGATAAAGCAAAAATTTTAGTGCAGAAGAAAAATATCCTTCATGCCTCCCTACACTGTTTACTAAACATTTGTTCATGGTTGGTTGTTTTCAATATTTGCTACACAAGTTAGCTGGATTACATTACCTTTCTCATATGCTGAACTGGTTGCAGCGTTTGTCCTTGCTTGGACATATTTTCTGCTATGTAGTGTGGTATGGTTTTTGGGTTTTTTTTGGTTTTTTGGTTTTTTTTGTTTGGGTTTTTTTTCATTTTGCAAGAAATGTTACCATATTTATAACAGTGTGTGGATAGAAGTAGTGGTCAAAGGGATGGAATAAATTTACTAAATATTGAGGAACCATTTATAGAAAAGATTTAGAGATGGTGGTGGGAGAAGAAATAGAACAATAAAAATATTTGCAAGGAAGGTGAGAATGTGATGTGTAGAAAAAGTGAAGAGGTCTACAGAGGAGAGGCAGACATTCAAAGTAACTTGGAAAAAGTTACAACAAAGGTGTCTTAAAAAGTAAAAAATGAAACAAACAAGGAGGGAAAGATACAAGCCACACAGAAGTAGTCATGTATATTTTTAATGACTAAGACATTTGCTTAATACATAGATTAATTTCTCAGCACATCTTCAAACATATTTTTCACATGCCTTACTGTCACACTAGCTCACTAGTGGTTTAAATAATAATTCATGAAGAAATTATTTCTGCCAACCTTAGTCTTATAAGCAAATATGTGAAATTAATACTTCTTATATGATTTAACTCCGGCAATACTGAAAAAAAGGTAGTCTATTGGCTAATAAGCTAGTTGTCAAATGTTACAACACAGTGCAGCAGAAAGAGCAGAAAGATTTACTTTGTGCTCAGTAATTGTTTGTTTGCAGAGTAGGGAGAAGAGCGCGCATATCTTGAGGAGAAGCTGGTATTCAAACTGCTACTCAGACTCTTAAAATTGCCCCATCCTTCTGTGGTTATTGCTTTGTGAACAGTTTCCTTGTGCAGTGTGGGTGCTTTGGATGCCAGTGCACTGACACTGTTCAACATGCGGAGCAAGCCCTGCTTACCCCTGTGCAGCTTGCTGTGTATGCAGGGCTGCTACCTATAATACCTGTGTTTCTTCTTCTGAGTGAGTTACTCTGAGTTCCATGGTGATGTAGTTACTTTTTTGCCCTATTTGTTACATGTAGGTTTAAAAATCAGTGGTTGTTGGATATGACTTAAAATGTATTTTTACATGTTTTTTCTCAGCACATTTTCATTCTTTTTCCTGTGTGACATACATGTGAGCCAGATTTAACCATTTAGAGATTGAAAACCCTTATATGTTATCAGCAGTATTGTAGAATAATCCAAAGGTATATCCTTTTTTTGATAACTTTTAATGTTTCTGAACACATTTCATTAAGCTTGTATATTAAAGGCAAAGGAGTTGCATTTTTGTCCTGAGATAAAAGTTTCATCGGTTTCTTACTACAGTTACAGTGTTACTGCTAGGAAAATGTCTTAGATAAATGCCATTTTGATTTAGGAAGGGAAGGGACAAAACAGTATGTGGAATTAAAACAGACTTCTGAAGAAAAACGCAGAGTTCTAATATGCATTTAAGAGTGAGAGTGTCTTAATACAAATGTCATAAGAATAGAATGCAAGTATCTAACACAGAAAGTTGAAGCTGTTGTTTTTGTGGCAGTGAAATTTTACTGTGTGTGGGTACACTAACACTGTGTTGAACAGAATTGTATTATCTTCCTTGAGCTGCAAATTCAGGTAGACTTAATTCCCTTTTTACAACTATTTTGTATCATAATCTTTTCATTTGCCTCATTTAATAGTTATTTCTCATTATCTTCACGAATTCTGGAGAATTTTGAAACATTTTTTGGTATGCTAAAAGTGCAAGTGAAACGGTATTCTAATGTATTTTTAATCCGTAACCACAAATATAACTTCTGCAAATGACTGTCTTTGTCTAAGCTTAACTGAATAATTTCCATTCAGTTCTGCATTTATGGGCTCTTTTGTTTAGTAATAGCAAGATATTGAATTCCTTGTTTATGTTACTGTGTCATATAGTCATGCAGTTCTGAGTATGATTAAAGTACTAATGAAATGAAAATAATGAAATATAAAACTGCATTTATCAGATTGTTACATCTCATAGGTCTAAAATGCACAGGTCTAACGTTCAGTACATGCATGTTCTTTTACAATTGTTTTTTGTCTAGTAACTGATTATTTTTTTTTCTAAATAGAGACTCACAGGACAGCAGCAGGAGATAAACAACTTAATACAGAGAAAAATTGCTGTGGATGAGGAAAATGCCCGTTTGAAGAATGAATTCAGTAACTTGAACCAGAAATTTAAAGATAAAAGCCAAGAACTTAAGGTATATTGACTTGTACATAGTTTCATAAGACTGTAGCTTTGAAGTAGTTCTTTAAGCAATGTCAGCCTTTGTGGCACAGAAAGTGACAAGCTTGGAGAAAAAATTGCCTTAGGCCTTGCTATACCTTACCATTTTCTCACATACCAACTCTGAGGAAGATGCTTTAAAGCCAAGAATCCAAGCTTTATAACTTTCAGATAAATAGTTAATGATGGAAATGGAGCAAAGAAAGTAGGAGTGTGAAGATGTGGCTTCTTGTAATTAGATTCTGATGGGACTGGCATTATTAATTGATAAAGCCGAGGTCTGGGAGGATATGTCTGTGTGGGTCTCAAAAATAGCTGGGGACAGCATCAAAGGCAGCTTGATCAATTAATGGGCTCTTTGCAAATGTGTACTCATCAAAGCTGTCATCCAGCTAAAAAATATGACCCTTCCACCTGCATGAAAGAGGCCAATAAAAGTACACAGGTGACCTTGGCCATCAAATATAGAAGAAGCTGCTGTGAGGGTAAAACTGCACAGTTTATATTTGCTGATTAGTTCTCACTTTTTTTGTTTATCGGCCCTTGTGGTACTGTTCTACAGGACACTGAGGAGTGTGCACAGAATAAGGAAGAGCAAAACAGACTGGTTATAAAAAACCTGGAGGAGGAAAATAAGGGATTAAATACATGCTGTGCTGACCTGCTAAATGACCTGGAGAAACTGAGGAAGCAGGAGGCACAATGGAAAACAGAAAAATCTGGCAATGATGCCAGGATAAAGGTACGAAGTGGAATGGACTCCTGGATGTTATTTTGGAATTAACTTCTCCAGACATTTGCACTACAAGTTATTTTCTTTAAATAACAAGTTATATATTCAAATCTACCAGTGGGGACTTGCATTCATTTACATTCCTTCACTTAAGACCCACAGCTTTTTAAAAATTGATGTTGCAAAGCAGGAATCTGACTTCAAATAGTCATCTTAAAATGTAATCATTAAAAAAGAAAAGATACTGTATTTTAAGAGAAAATATATATATGTGAAATAATAAAAGCTTAAAAGTATTATTGTTCACAATTTTTTCTCAATGTATAATTTACTTACCTATAATTTGATTGCAGTAGACTTGATATTTGTTGTTTTGGAAGAACACTTTAAAACTTTAACTGCAGTTTCGAATAAACTGTGTCCTAGCCTCCAGAGGGCTTCACTCTGAGAGGCCTTATTATTGCATATAATATATTAAAAAGTTATTTTCACTGTTTATGATAAAATGAAAAAGGAAATAATTGAATACATTGTACAGACTATTGTATCTTTTATTTAAATGATACTTTGTCTTGTTTGCTGGTGGAAATTGGCAAGTTCTTTTTAAATTCCTGTAAGAAGTAAGCCACAAACATGGTATCAAAGTGTTTTATGGCTGCTTATATACATGCCTATTTAGTGGATTTTTTTTTATTTACATGGCTAATGAACACTTACAATGCTATGGTCTTTTACACTATCAAAATACATGACCTTCTGGTATATTCAGTGTACTAACTATCTAATCAACATCTTGCCCAGAAACATCTTTTTTCCTCCACTAGCAATTCAGTGGTTTTGGTGACACTTCTGATTGTTGTGCTGATGGAAACCTTTTGTGAAGAACTTAATTCAGATTTGTTAACATGGGAAGTAAAGCTCTTTGAAATTGAGGCCTTTGGAGTGATTACGATGACAGGAATATAGGATTCCCAGGACAACGAATGGTTTGTTGATACTTGGGGGAGAAAATCTAGTGTGTACTAAACTGATTTAATAATTTTTAAGTTGTCAAATGTAGTGTTTGTAATATTGGATAAATTATTGAAAATCAGTGTTACCCACACCTTCAGTGAAAACAGTCAGAATAATTTTTAGTGTATCTGTCTTCCTGGCTGATAAGTCATGCTCAAGAGAGAAAGGTGTGTCACAGCCATGTGATTCCAGGGATGGGAATAAGTAGTGTTGGTGTTTCAGAGTGGGGTCACAAGAAGGTCCAGGTGGTGTCTAGAGCGTGACAGAGGTAACTTCTTGAGATGGGTATTCCCTGAGCCAACCAGGAATGACACACAGCTGGATCTGCTCTTCATAAACAAGGAAGAACTGATTAAGGAAATAATTAATGGCAGCCTTGGCTATAGTGACCATGAAATTGTGAAGACCAAGATCCTGAGAAGATGAAGGAAGGAGAGTAGCACAGTAGACCTGGAATTAAGGAAGAGAGTCTTCAGCTTGCTCAGGGAAGTGGTAGGTGGAATCCCATGAGAAGCAGCACTGAAAGGTAAAAGAGCTCAGGAAAATTATCAAGTCTTTAAAGACAGGTTCCTCCAAGCCCAAGTATGGGCTACCCTGATACTCAGGAAAACAAGTGGATATATCAGATCAGCTTGGCTAAACAGAATTAATCACCAAACTCCAGTGTAGAGCAGGGGGTGGAAAGCAGTATTCAGGAAGTGGAGACAGTGAAAGCTACAAAGAAGTTCAAAAACATTTTCTGGGCACTCAAGGATGGTGGTAACCTACCTACAGTTGAGACTTGCAAGTGATGACAGGTATAACAGGAGTTGCTTGCACAACTTTAGTAGTAAAAGGCTGAACAAGGAGTAAAAGGCTGAACAAGGAGTAAAAGGCTGAACAAGGAAAACGGGAGCCTGTTGCTGAAAGGGAAGGATGAATTAGTGACAGAGGTACGGAGTGTCGTCTTTGCCTAAGTCTTCTGCAACAAGATTCCACCAAGCGTTTGTGCCTAGAGGCAGAGTTCAAGGAGAAATACTAAGAGTGGATGAATTAGGAGATACATGAGAGAACTTGACTAGTACACATCCATTGGACCAGCTGAACTGCTTCCACGGGTGCTGAGAGAGTTGGCTGATGTCACTGTCAGGCTGCTGCCTATCATCTTTCAGAAGTAGTATAGAGATCAGGGGAGGTCGCTGATGAAAAGGATAATCTAAGAACAAAGGTCGGTTGGCCTTACTTCAGTCCCTGGGAAAATCAGAAAGAAAGTTGTCTTGGAAGTAATTTCTGGGCACGTGACAGAGAAAGTGACTAGAAGCAATCATGGATTTACCAAGGGTGAATTGTTCCTGAGCAACCTGATTGTCTTTTGTGACAAAATAATTGTGTCTGTGGACAAGAGGAGAGCTTGGATGTGATTGAACTTAACTTTAGCAAGACTTTTGACACTGTCTTGCTGTACGCTTGTACCCAAGTTAGGATGTTACAGCTGGATAGGTGGACAACAACATGTTTATAAGAACTATTTGATGTTTGGGTTCAGAGAGCTGTGGTTAATGGGTTGTACTCTGTCTGTAGGCTGGTAATAAGTGCTGTACTGCAGGATCTATCCTGGACCCGTTTTATTTAAAATCTTTATCAATGACCTGGAAGAGGGAACAGTGGGCATGTTTGTCAAGTTTGCAAATGAGGCCAAACTGGGGAGAAGTGGATGTGCTTGAGGGCTCTGCTGCCATCCAGGGGAACCTTGATGGAAATGGGCCAACAGGAGCCTTAACCAGGACAAATGATGAGCCTTGCCCTGGGAAGGCAGAGCCCTGCAGCCATACAGGGGCTGGGGATCAGCTCTGGGGGACAGCCCTGGGCACTGGCAGGCAGCAAGTTGCACTGGGGCCAGCCCTGTGCACCCAGGCAGCAATGAGGGCCACCAGTGCCTACAGAGGCATGAGCAGGGCATGGCCCCGAGAGCCAGGGCTGGAATCAACCCCCTCTGCTCAGTACCCTAGATACTGCACCCATTTTTGGGTGCAGTACAAGACAGACATCAGTAAACTGGCTGGAGGTGAGACGCTGGGGCTGGAGACCTTGCCTTGCAAGGAGAGGCTGTCGGATGGGCTGGTTCAGCCAGGAGAAGGGATGGCTCTGGGGCTGGGGCCATCCAGCAGCATCTCCGGCACCAACAGTAGGGGATGGAGGAGATGCAGCTGGGCTCTTCACAGCTTTGCATGGTAGCAGGGTGAGAGGCAGCACAAGCTGAAACAGGAAAAGCTGAGACTGGTGATAAGGAGAAGCCTTTTTCCCAGGAGGACAGCCCTGGAGTGGGGCTGGGGCCCGTGAAGGTTGGGCCATCTCCATCATTAGGAGATTTCAACCCCTGATTTTGTAAAGCCCTGAGCTGCCTGGTCAGGCCCCCTGACTGAACCTGCTTTAGGCAGGGGCTGTGACTGGAGAACTCCCCAGGTACCCGCCAGCCTGCATGTGTCCATGGGTCCGATGCCCCACCTTCTGCCTTTTCCCGCTACCTCCCCACCCCATTCTGTGACATTGGACAAGTGACTATACACCTTTGCTAGTGGACAGAGTTAGGTGAAGTTGATTATCTCACGAGACTATTGCAAGGGTTGAGAAGCATATTAAAAATACTATCTGCAAGAGGGAAATGTTACATTTGACCTCTAGGAAGTAGTAATGTGTGGTCTCATTGTTTTTTATCAATATTTTGTAAAATAATAATTTGTAAAAACAGTTATTTTTGTAGTTCATCACTGTTTTTACATATATTCTTCCTGTAAATACTTGCTTGAAAATTTAAGTTTCAGTTTGAATTCATTTCTCCTTCTGTTCCTGACATTCCCCATTTCTATTACTCGACACTCGAGAATCAACATTGGATGCCAGATTGGCTCTTAACAGAATGCTTATAAACAATAAAGAATAATAATTTCCTTATCCACAGAGGCCAAATATGACATTATCACACTACACAATATTGGGCTGCAGATTATGTTCTAATATATACACCCCAATATAACGTGTCCCTGAAATGCTTTTAAAAAGTAGTTTACAAGCAAATTCAATAATGGAATTGTGGTGTTGTTCTCAAGTGATTGTAAAAATGGTTATAGATAAAATAATTTGAATTCAGAAATTATATCCCGTCTAAAAGTCAGTTCTGCCTCTCAGCCTTGAGTTTGGGAGTTGAACCAGCATCTCTTTTTGTACTGTTTTTCAGTAATAAACAGTATATTTAACAATATTGTAGATGATGTATATAGACACTATTCATGTTTAGTCTCCTATATCTGTGGAAGAATAAAATGAAACCTAATCAATGTAAGCTACCCCAACGTTTTTAAAATGTGTTTTAGATGATAGAAATGCTAGGTCTAAATAACAGATTCTTCTTTTGGAAAAGTGGCCCTCTGTTCAGAGACTGAACTAAGTGTTACTAGCCCATTATTTTCAGTCTTTAAACCATTTTCTGTGAAGAAAAGTGTCAGTTGTCACTTTCAAAGACTGGTTGTTTCCAGATGTACTATAAGCTGAATTGGGGTATAAAATTCAACTTTTTCAAACTGAGACAAAAAGCTTCTATGACTAGTTTGTCCATTTAAGGAATATTTCTTTAAAGATTTGTCATATTAGCTGAAAGCTGAGTGAGGCAGATTAACAGGAAGAAACCTGATAAGGTGGCTAAAAGACTGGCAATTGTATTTTATTGTGTCCTTCCCATATATACCTTCATATAAATAATGTACAGTGTACAAAAAATTAACATAGGGCTTTGCTTTCTGCCTTAAAGTAGTTCTTGAGAATTACTCTTCTGTGCTTCCCAGGGCTTATATCAGCTTTCTGTATCTCCTGAAAATGCACAAGTGGAAAAGCTGTCAGTCAGCCACCTCATGCATGGATGTGTCTCCATATTTAAGAATGAATTAGGTGTTTGAGTTATTTTGTTGTTCTTTGGGTGGAGGTTGCTTAAGTTATTGTTTAATAATAATAAGAATGTATATTTTCTCAAACTCAGGCACAAAAGGCTTTGTATGTAGACACAAAAAATGTCAGACTGGCAGATTTTAAGTGGAGGTGACCTAAAAGATAATGAAATTGCTTACTGGTTTTGTTTTTGTTTTTGTTTTTTCCTGTGGTGTGGTTTTTTTTTTTTTTCCTTCCCCTGGTTGGCAAAGTACTTTTTAAAGTCCCTAAAGTCTGAAGGTGGGAGCTTTTAAAGAAACAGGGGGAGGTGTTCTCTTTTAAAATGAAACACACTGAGAAACAGCCATCTCTGTAAAGAGGAGCCTGGGATTTTAGTTCCACTGAAAAATGGGAGTTTTCTTGAGAATGGGACCTTAGAAAAATACTCTCACTTCTGTCATAATACATAATAAGAAAAAACATGAAGACAAAGCTACTGTATTTGAAAGTGACTTTGTAAGGGTTTGAAGCTACAAATAACAAAACCCTAGTGTTAATTCACAGTGAATCCATAATCTATGCACAACTGTGCTGCCTCGTGCCTTGTCTGTGTGTTATGCTTTTCATATTTGAAGTTCTTCTAAATTCACCTTTTCTCTGACTTTTCTGAGTTTATAGTTCTTGGTCTTGAAGTGATCAAAATATTCCTGTAATGTTTTACCTTAAATTATTATTCTGCTATTTATCTTCATTTCATTTTAGTTAGGATCACCACTTTTCATAGCTAGAAATAATGGCTAGACTTATTTTTCATGCTTCAATTCCAGTACTGTTATAAAGAAGTATCATATCTTTTACCATCTTGTATTTCTCTCTAAAATAAGCATTTTCTTCCTCATATAACTGAATTACTAGATATTTTGACTTACTGTACTTTAAATAGCACTTACTTTGCTTTAATATGCTTTAAAAGATTGAATTCTAAACAGCAGTCTGTATGTACAATTGAAATTAACTTTAATTTGAAAGTCAGGTTTAGGAGAATTTATATTTAGCAAACTTTAAGTCTGCATGTTTATGCAATGAAGCTACCTTCTCAGCTACTGTATCAACTAAAAGGCAACATAATAAATTCCATGTGATTTTAAAAAAATGGAGATGCTCAGAAATTGAGTGTAAAATATTATAGGTTATTTCATAATCTTAGATTTCTGACTTATCTACAAAAGCTTTGCTGAATGCCTCAATATATGGTATTTCAGTGTATATAAGCTATTTGTATAACCAGTCCGTCCTTGCCCCTTTTTTCATGTTTTGCCCTTTAAGTAAAGTTTCTGATTTCCAAAAACAGTCAAGGTTTCAAAATCAGTTCAAAAGGTTGAACTGAGTAATTTGTTAGTTGAAATCAAAATCTGAAGTTGCATATGTCACAAATGGGATGAAGTGCTGAAAGATACTTTTTTTTCTGTTTTTAAATTCTGCTGTTGTATAACTTCTAAAGTTGTATTTATGACAAAATCATTTGTTACCTATTCTTTGTATTGTACCCTGCAATGGATGATGGGAACTTAAGTATTGGTAAGATCAAATTTTTTTTAAAATCTCTACCATGAAAAACCTCTGCAACTCTATAGTGTGGTGTGAAAGGCAAATAGGATTTATTCACAGAAAATGTGAACTATTATAATTTTTTTTCACATATACAATAACTTTTAGCTGATGTGTAAGAAAAACTACTGAGGAGAAACCCTAAGATTATTTGGCTGTAAGTTATAAATACTTTATTACACTTCAACATTTTCATGTGTTGATAGAATGAACGGTCTCCTATCATTCTGAAATCTTTTGTTATCTGAGAAAAAAAAATTTTTGCTACCCAGCCTCTTGAGATTGAATGATGGCTCATTAGTCGGGTACACCAGGTATATAGCCTGAGACTTATCATGAAACAAATAGTTTTCCTACCTCATTCACTCATGAATTTTGCTATTTCCTCACATTAATGTTACTGTTATTAACAGGACATGATAATTCCTGTCCAAATTCAAAGAATTTGATTGTAGTGCTCTTCTGATACATCCAGATATGTATAAGACATTTTTATGCTATTTTAAAGAGAAGATTAATTACTTGCTTTCCAGTTATAGAAATGTTTTGATACCTTCAATATTTGAGGCATCTTTGCTGAAAGGGAAAGATGTGCATTTCTTTAACTGTACGTAAATGGAAGATAAACTAATATACTGTTGGCTGTAGATTAGGGATGCTATCCTACTAGGAGGTATTTATTTTAAATAATTGATGAATCCTGGAATATTTGCCTTACTGAGAACAAGTGATTGTGTCTATGAGTAGCATAATACCAAAGTAGGTCTAAGGCCGTTGCCACTTTCTGAAACTCTGGTCTAGATATTGCTGTAATATTTCTATTTCTATTCTTGCCTGGAAACACTCTGGGAGAATAGTCATATGAAGCTTCTTAAGGACTGAAGTACTCTTCTAAGCTGCTAGACCTCCAGAGAACACTAGTAAGGTCACTATGTAGAGATCGAAGTCTTGCCTGAGTAAGCTGCCTTGCTGTTATATTTCCCAGATATACCATCACACTTTGCTGACTAATGTCTATAGTAAGGCTTACTGTAAAAGGCAAAGTATTGCTTGTTTATGTTGTTTTCAACGAGCATTTCCAGAAGTTTTCTTGTACGCTATTTCTTTTCCTGAAGAAACTATTCCTTGCACTGAATTAGAAGTGCAAAATCAGAGCAAATTTAACAAGCAGTCTCAAAAATGAATCTGTATCCATGATTCTTAGTTCATGTGTGCAATATTGTGCAATTTTTGGAGAACTTAAAACAATGAGTGTACAGCTGTTTTTTGTTAGGAGTAGGTTTTTTCTGTTTGATTTCACAGAAAACAAGGCTTACTCAGTTTAATCAGTTCAGTAGTTAAATAGCGTACTACTGCTTTACAAAGATTTGATTCAGGATTCTCCTCCACATGCAGCAAACAAATGAATTAAGGAAAACTTCCTACAGTAAAGAATAGGTTGCCACCTAAAATTTGAAGTATACCTTTTTTTCTGGTGTTTCACATTTTTCATGCATGCACATATACCTATATATATTTGCTTAGACCACAATAAATATACACATGTATGTATGTGCACATCCATATGTCTGTATACATAGATAACACGCATAGCAGATTTTAACTCTTTCTTAGACATTCAAATGCTTTCTTTGCAGAATTTGGAAACTGATTTAGCAGAGGCAAGAGAACAAATGAAAGAGTTGCGCAGTATATGCAGTAACTTGTCAACTCAGGTAGCTGTGAAACAGGAAGAACTGTCTCAAAAGGACTGTGATGTGATCAGAGCTAGGTAAGTATTTCATGATTTCATTACCTTTAAGTCTGAATCTTTTAAAAAAGACTATTGTTCTACTTACAAAGCAGTATCTTGCATTAGAGGTATTTTTGTGCAACAGTGTATTTTCATACCATTCTGTTCCGCAAGATGTAAAGCTTTTGGAAGTCTACCAGTAGATGAAAATTTATGTAGAATCTCTCTGATACATTTTAACTCTTAGTATATTATCATCATCAGTTTTTGAGTAGGGATGGACTTTAAAAATTACATTTCTGTAATTAGCATTGGGTCAGAGAACTACCAATCTCCACTGAAAGTAACAAAATACCAGTATGATTAGTGAAACAAACATTTAATTGGAGAGGCTAAATGCCCTAAACTTGGAAAAGCTTTAAGCCTAACTTTAACTTTTTAATTAGAGTTGAATCTGACGAGTCAGCAAAAGTCTGCATAGGCCTGTGCTAAAGGTTTAAAGTGCAGTGGTTTAAGCTTTATCTCGGGTCTCACACACTATTTCTTTACACTGAATCTGTAAGATTAGTGCTGCATTATTTGAGTTGTGGAAAAGAATGAAGGATGGAATGAATTATATGAATTGACTAGACTACTGAATTCCTCAAAATGAAGGTAATGGCAGAAGACAATTGGTAACTTTAAGTGGATTGTCAGGAAATTGTCCATTTTTCACTTCTTAGTTTCTGAGGCATGCACAGTGTTTAGCACTCCTGTGTTAGACAAATAATATTCCCTTCAATATTCCCTCAAACTGTGGTTATGCCTGAAGAGCTGCAGTTGGGATGCAGAAATCATTGGTATGGACACTCCTCTTTGCTTTCCAGTCGGAAATAATATTACTGTAGGGAGTCAGTATCTAAGTCTTTTTGGGGAAAAAACTAGAAATATGATTTTTGATGCCTCTGACCTAAATTGTTGTCCTAGTATTTGTTGAAATCTTTACAGGGCAAATGATGTCTTGTTATATTCATATTTAAAAGGTATAATGGTTGGGGTTTCAAAAGTCAATAAAAATAGGCAAGCTTAATGGGAAATTGTATTGAAAGAGTCAATCACTGGAATTTGTGAAATTCATCAATGGACTAATAGGCTTTATTGTCTTCTGAAATTATTCTCAGAAATATATGTATGTGTGAGAGGACTAGGGACAGCAAAGAAGATGTTTTTAAAGTCAGGTGATCAAGGTTTGCAAAGTTACTGCTTGTTCATTGCAGTTTAGGATATTGCAGACTGAGTTGGCCAAATCACTGAACTTAAAATTTCTCAGAATGTATTCTTTGCTATTCACTGCAAAACAACCTCTTAGAATTTGTTGCAGACATCTTGTTTAAATATGTGATTAATATAAGTACTTTTTTGAACATAAGGTCTGAACTTGACGTAACAAAATATGGACAACATACTTATTTTGGAGTGTTTGAAGTCTTTTTGTGTACGTTTTTCCATACAACCAACCTTCAAAATTTATGGAAAAGAGTTTTGCAAGCTGATCATATATGTTTTTCTGTGTGCTTAAATGTTTGCCTTCTTAGATACTTAACTGGTCGATGAATGATAGTATTTTTCCATATCATTATTATGTGAGTTATACTTGATAGGTTATATATATGTATATATTTGATTTGTAGTAGTAGACTAGTAGTAGTAGTAGACATTGTAATTCAGTGTCTACTAATCTTTCTTCATGAACTCTCTTTGGCTACAAGTTTCTTGTTGACATTTCTATTATGAAAAACAAAGGGTTATGCTAAATGCCTTATATAAAATTCACAGTTTCAAGCAGTAGTTTCAGTAGTTAGCAATATAAATGAAGAATTTCAAATATTCTGTATTTTTTGTAGTACAGAATACTGAAGTTTCTCCTTATCTTCTCAAGGTGTCAGTACATAGATAAAACTTTTTCTGTTTGTTCTTAATTAAAAAAAAATCAAAATAATAAAGGTTTATGAAGAAAAAAGCCAAATTCTTACTTAAGTTAAAGAAAGCAACAACTCCAGAATTAAAGGAAAAAATCTGAGGAGAAAATAAAGTCTTTACATCTTCTCATCTCTGTCCTGGTTTCGGCAGGGATAGAGTTAATTCCCTTCCTAGTAGCTGGTGCAGTGCTGTGTTTTGGATTTAGGATGAGAACAAAGTTGATAGCACACCGATGTTTAGTTGTTGCTAGGTGGTGCTTACACTAGCCAAGGACTTTTTAGTTTTCCATGCTCTACTGACTAAGAAGGCTGGAGGTGCACAAGAAGCTGGGAGGGGGCACAGCCAAACTGGCCAAAGGGACATTCCATACCATGTGACGTCATGCTCAGTA